TAGTGGCTCAACAAAATATTTAGACACTCCCCCAAGAACCCACATGTATTTTGAAATTGGGAATTAGCTAATTGTCTCTTATACCCTAAATCTCTACCTCAAGAAATAAATGCCTTGGGGTTATTAGTCTATATGCTGAGCTAAATATCTTCATGGTTCCTATTCCATCTAAGACCTTATTTCTATTTGCCTAATTACTTTCACAGCTGAGAACTGGTTTTATTTTTCCTTATAATTACTTTTGCAGCTGAGAACTGGTTTTATTTTTCCTTTATCAGTTCTGTAAATGTTTCCTGTTGTAATTTCATAAATTTGCTTTGCTCCTCAGTGAGCCTGGGAATGCTTTTTTTGGGTCCTTTAGCATGTTATCAAAGTTTGATGCATTAAGGGAGCTGAGAATTGTCTCCCTTTTCATCCTTAAATACAGTTGTTCATTCAGAGCAGGATATGAGCTACTATAGGTGTGAAAAATGAAATCCCATTGAGTTTCTACATAATATTCACCTACTGTTTGGAGACTCAGAGTTCCTTTCAGCCATGAATGCAAGATATTTACTGAACAGAAATTCTAGAGATGGTCAATTCTTTTTTCTGATCAGCATTTTTCCTTTGGAAAGCTGAGGTGTTTATAAAGGGAAATAGCATATTCATCCAAATATTTTTTTTTTTCCACAAGCCTAATTTGTATAAAAAAACCAGTAATTGTTTAAATTGAAACTGTTACTTTTGCCTCAGGAAATAAAAGTTTAGTTTCTTGAACTGATGTTTCCTCCAAAGCTGGTAAACTCTCCATTTCATACTAAAAGAAATCAATTTGCTGTAGTTAAGAACAATTTGGTTTCATCTGAGAGGAAACTTAACTGCAGTTTTATGAGTCATTTCACCTTCTTAAAAGCACCGTTATGAGCCTGCTGTCGTAAGAGAACTATTCCTATGTATTTATTTATTGCTTGCTTGATTCCAGACTTGGATGCTCCAAGAAACCTGAAACGAGTGTCCCAGACAGACAACAGCATCACTCTGGAGTGGAAGAACAGCCATGCCAATGTTGATAACTATCGAATTAAGTTTGCTCCTATCTCTGGTGGGGACCATGTGGAGATCACAGTGCCAAAGGGCAACCAAGGAACAACCAGAGCTACACTTACAGGTAGAGGAATGGAGAGATTGTTGTTAATGCTGTGTCACAGCCACCACCCTAGAGCACAGTAGCATAGTGAAAAAATACCCTTTGGGTCACTATGCATAAGAGGTACAAGTAGAGGTTGCACATTGCAGATTAGATATTGGGAAGAAATTCTTCCCTGTGAGGGTGGTGAGGCTCTGGCACAGGTTGCCCAGAGAAGCTGTGGCTGCCCCAACCCTGGGAGTGTTCCAGGTCAGGTTGGATGGGGCTTGGAGCAACCTGGGCTGGTGGAAGGTGTCTCTGCCCATGGCAGGGGGTGGAATGAGATGATCCTTAAGGTCCTTTCCACCCAAACTATTCTGGGATTCTATGATTTTAAGTACACTCAATAAAATTCAAATCCATGTGCTATGTATTTACACACCTGCAGATGGGGAACAGCCAACAGAAAATATGAAGCCCTCTGACTTTCATGTGCATCTCTGAACCCCATCAGTCTGTTCCCTCCATTCTAGGCAGCTGCACATCTTTGTGGAGATGGCTGTATATGTTCAAAAGGCATTTGTATGTGCAGGGATGGTATTTGTTGATGCCAGTCTGCAACTTCTCTGTGCAACTCCAGGTTACCTTACCAGCCTGCAAGGCTAGACAGTGCTCCTTCCTCCTTATCTACCCACTTTTCATTGGCAAAAAGGTCTATAGTGCAAGCTCTTGAAAGCAGAAGCTATCTCTGATTATGCATTTGCAGTGTCCAAAATATAATCTCAGTCCACCACAATCTTAATTCTGTGGGATGCACTTGGAATAAAGATTTAGTAAGATCAGGTCAGCTGGAGGGTCAACTGAAACATGGATTCCCTGCATACCCAGGAAAGCATTTATCTTACCTTGCATACATTCACTCTTATTTAAAGAAAGGTTTCTAGGTGCATTCCATGGACAGGAACTCATACTTCTACTCCTCATCTCTTAGGTTTGAGGCCTGGAACTGAATATGGCATTGGTGTGACAGCAGTGAGAAATGACAGGGAAAGTGCTCCTGCTACCATTAATGCTGGCACTGGTGAGTAACCTGATCTCCCTCTGTGCTCCAGGGGAAGCAGCAAGTCAGAAGGAGCCACTCTGATGTTTCTTTCATTTCCAAGTAATACTAAGAAATATTTGTGAAAGTTCTTGATTTCTGTTTGCTACCTATGGGACATTTCCCTTCATGGGAAAGATCTTTCCCCCAGAGATCTTGGCCTCTGAATCTGGCTTCTTTTTCCTGTATGAGGATCTCATAATGTTTTGGGAGTTTCATCGCTCCTCAATGGTCATTATTCTTACACTGATCACTATGACCATCCTCTAATTGTGAGGGGTTTTGGCAGGAGTCATAGCTATGCCCAGAAGGTTGATGTGACAGAGTGCAGCCTCAGTGGTTGCAGTAGTCCTGCCTGGCCTTCAAACCCTGGATTTTTCCCACAATATTCCCCTTTTCCCAGGTAAATTCTCTGAAGACTTTACCTCTCCTTCATACAATACCTGCTGAAGTGAGTGTCAGTGGGGGAAATGTGTTCTAGTGTGGTTTGTCTTTAAAGAGAATTTCATCATTCTCTACCTATATCAAACAACAGCTTCAAAAGGTCCTAAAGGTGGATAAGCCCTTGAGGTGTGACCAGACACCCAGTGCAGATGTTACTCTGTCTACAGGAGCCTGAAAACCTGGCCCAGGGTAGTTCAGAGACATCTCAACTTTGCTTTTTTTAACCTGTAGATCTTGATAACCCCAAGGACTTGGAAGTCAGTGATCCCACTGAAACCACCTTATCCCTGCGCTGGAGAAGACCAGTGGCTAAGTTTGATCGGTATCGCCTCAGTCACGTTAGTCCTTCTGGAAAGAAGAATGAAGTGGAGATCCCTGTGGACAGTACCTCATTTATCCTGAGAGGGCTGGATGCAGGGACAGAATACACCATCAGTCTGGTGGCAGAGAAGGGCAGACACAAAAGCAAACCCACAACTGTCAAGGGTTCCACTGGTGAGTAAGAACTTTTGAGGAGTGCTGTGCATCAGGTCACTGGGCAAGGACTAGCCCAAGTACAGCCTCACCTGATTTTGTTAGCTATGCCTGGGGAGCTGCCTGCAGACAGACTTAGCTCTGCCTAGCATGAGTCACTGAGGGATAGTTTTGTATTTCATTACCTACTGTGTTTACCTCGATGTTCTCAATGACTTCTTGCTTATCCTTTGAGAGGCCTCCCAAAGAACATGGCTGTTGGTCCTGCATGAAAGGGAGAGTTCATTCTTTGTTTTAAACTAGGCAGGGGTTTTTCTGTGCTTTGTGTCTTATAACTTGGTTTGTTTTCTACAGCCAATAACTAAGAGGAAGAGCAACCAGAACGTGTTTAGCACTGCTTGTTCCTGCCTAATGAATTCTCTTCACAGGATGCCTCCACCCATGATTCTTCTCATGGATCTGGTGTTGCCCTTTTTCAGTTTTCTTATCCAAAAGTGGGAAAGACTATCACCCCAAATCTGGTCTCAATCAGTGTTTCCTTTGGATGCCATGACTTACATTTGCCTACAAATAAGGGCTCCATTTCTGCCATCTCCATTTGTACAAACCACTCCAATTGACCAACAGCAGTGAACTTCTTGAACAAGGTTTTATTCTTTGTGAAACACTTTGACCTAAAGTTTGTTGTATATAGAATTACATCCATCCTGGATCTTTATGTGCCTTCAGGCTAAATCCTGTGAGGCAAAGCCTTAACTGGTTTAAGTGAGCACAGAAAGTAAAATCAGAAATGGCTGATTTCAGTTGTTGTCCTTAAAGATATCAAGGTGTTTATCCTTTTCTCCACATCTATGAGGTAAACACATGACAGAAGCTGTGGATTTTACAAATTAATAACTCTACAGATTAACTGGGTTCATATTCCCTGGTAGTGTTCATGCCAGCACAGACTCTGAATGCTTTATAGGGACAGGAATCCAGGACAGCAGAGGGTTATATGGTATGGTGTAAACTACAGGGAACCATCAGGACTGAATTAGTTGTTTTGTGCCTAGATCAGATCTGTGTCAAGTGCAGGGAAAAATTAGGCAGCCTTGAGGCACACACCTACAAAGGGAAGCTGAAGGTTCATGTGTTGGGAGTGAGCAGGCTTTGATTTTCCTCAGGTTATCTGTTTGTCTATCTGTCTGAGGACTGAGGGGTCTCAAAAGAAGTATGAATAGATGGTGAAAGTCAGAATAAACACGCTGTGGAATTTCACAGTTTGGTCTTTCCAGCAAGAGCTTCCAAAGTTTCACAAGTGGCTTCTTTTTTCCTGGATTGGCTTTTTTTTTTTTTCCTTTTCTTTAGAATACCTTCATCTGGCCACTATATTTGTTTTATGTCTTTGCTCAGAGCAGCCAGTAAACAAAGAGTTCTCTGCAGTGAGCTCCTTAGGGCAGCAGTTGATATAACCTGTCCCTGTGACCTTCCTCTTGCGTAGGAATGGGCAAATCCAAACACACTAGTCTGGGGATCAGAAGTGCTCTGGAAGCCTGTGTGGTATAAGACAAGTGGTCTCTTCAGTTTGCTTTTCCATCTACCCTCAAGTCAGTTCTCTTCAGCCATGTTTCCAGTGCTTGGGAGGTCCTGAAGTCCTCAGGCTAAGCCAAACAAACTTGTTGTTTTGCCTTCTCTTGCAGAGCTCTGGGGGGACCTCAGGTCCATTGCACTGCTGGAACAATCAGGGAGAGAGGAATGATTGAAGTGAGAAATGTCAGTAGCACAGCTAGGACTGGGCTAGCTCTTTTTGGTGGGCAGAGGAGCCAGTCCTGCTCTTTGGGGTATCTGTGCCATCCCCACTGAACAGGGGAACCAAGTGACTGCAGACAGACTGAGCTTTTCTTTTCACTTTCCTTTACTTCTGCAGATAGCCAGGTTGTCATCTCCTATTCTTCCCATCCTCTTGGTGGTTCAGTCAGGCATCTGTGCCAACAGGTGTTCAGATTTCCCACACATTAGTTTTATTTACTTGCATAGTGAATTTTATATCACTGAGGGTAAAACTTTTTTCAGCTCCAGAACTGAGGATCTTCTGTTGGAGCCTTCTAACCCCTCACATTCTTCCTGTTAGCTTTTCATGTGTATCAACACTCCACACAGAGGCAACTGAAACATTCAGAGCTCATAAACCTCCAGCAAAGGACATGACATGAAATCTTCCATAGCATGGGCTGGCAACTGTCTGTTGCCTCTGTCTCTTTGTATGGATGAAGTGCAGCTCAAGTGGCAAAGATTTTTTGAACTGCTATCACTGATTCTGCATTCAAGGGATGGTAAAGATTATAAAGAGAAGTTTTCTAAATGCCATTTGGTTTTGCTGAATAGGAAAGACTAAATATTTCACACTGTCACTAGCTTGTTTGTCCTTTTGCAGTTTTATATAGTGTAGCCCCAAGGCAGGCAATGACTCTTGACCCAGTGGATCTTTCTGGCTCTGAGAGTTTTCCTGCTCCAGAGGCATCAGGGATGCAGGAGGATGCATTGAGGGACCTTATGGTCTTGAGGGTAAGAGACTACAACTTTAGTAGTGTTTCATGATATGTGAATACAGGAATCTACAGCAGTTTTGTGGTGGAGTATGAGAAAGTGACAGGAATATACAACAGTTTTGTGGTGGAGTATGAGAAAGTGTCACTGGCAGCTGGGCCCAGTGCAGAGACTTTCCTGCCCAGAGAACCTCTGGATGCTATGATTGACAGTCTCCAAGCTAACACTTCCTACAAAATCAAGGTGTATGGATTGGCTGGAGAATAGCACTCTTCTCCTCTGGAAGCTGTGGCTATCATAGGTACCTTCTTTCTTTTCTTAGTGAAGGTATCACAAAGGTCCCACCCAGCACTGCACTAAGGTTTGGCTCAGAAATCTGAGAAAACAAGACATTTTGCCATTGGAGGGACCTTTCTGATAGCATGTCTTGAGAATGTTACATCAGATTAACAGCCAATCTGTAGGGTGAGCACGTAACCCAGCTCTGAGGAAGCTGAGCAGTCAGACTGAAGCTTTGTTCTTTGCTGCTCTGGTTCTGGAACTCTGCCTGCACAGCACAATGTGGGTCCTGGACAGGATGGATGGTAATACATCAGGCATGAGAGGCCTGGGGAGATAAATGAGTGAACATTAGAGAAATCAAGTGCCAAACTCAAATTCCTTTGCTGAAGGACCCAGATTGTGCAGCAACTGTTGATGAATCGTGGATGTGATACTGTCTTGCCCCTGGAAGTGAGTTTGCACATTGGAGCATGGCTTGGAGAAGTAACTTTTCCACTCTGCTGCCTATTTTTAAGAAGATTGATGCTGTTTACCAGAGGCTTTTCTCTGTGCTGTGCGTCAGTCCCTCTTCCTCTCCTGGCTTCTACTTCCACTGGTCTTAGATTGCACCACCCTTTTTTATACAAACTCAAAGGAACATGAGGAAGAATGATTAGGTGAGCCAGTTCGATGGGAAATTGCAGTACTGACCACTGGGAAACTAAGTTTGCCAGGAAAGATTGTCCATTTCTTCAACTGATTCCTCTGCTGAGAGTACCTGGAATCTGACTTCAATATGAGGCTTTTTTTAGTGGTAACTACTGTGTTGTTTCTGGCTGGTGAGATCCTGCAGTGATTTCTTTATAAAATTCAGAGGTGCACAGGCACTGTAAGCCCAATTTAATCAGCTGCTTGAGAGAGGGGAAAGTTGTTTAGCCAAAGGGGATTGAAAAGAATGCAAATAGGGTATCATGTCTCACAATGTGCTTGTGCTGGTTGGAGACTGTGAAACTGGCTGATACCCCTCTTGGTGAATAATATAAAATCCAAGAGCCAGAAGCAAAAATTAATACAGAATACTGTTTGCTCCATCCTAAGGAACTGGGGAAATGTCCTGGCAGGACATGAGCATCCTTTTTAGTAGAATTGCCAGTGAAGCATTACAGTGGAATTCCTCAAAAGCCTAGCAACAGCACTACAGACATATTTAGGCCATATTCAGCCTGAAGATTTGACTAAGGGAGACTGAGATATTTACTAAGTCAACATGAAGAAATATTCCAGCTTGAGAAAGAGCATATGCTTGTTGTCCACCCAGTTTCCCTTCTACATAGCTTTCAGCTCTTTGGCATCTACTGTTCATTCATCTTGCCACACTGAATCATTCCCTCTGTTGTCATCCACCCACCTAGAGCTCTGTCTCTTCTCCCCATCTATTCCCCTAGTTGCTAAATCAAGTGTTTGAACTCCATTTGTCTTGTTATTCTAGTCTGTTTGTTCTCCAGATTTTTCCATTATCTGTTCAAGTATTTTATCTGCTAAACAAGGAGCACTGATACTCTCTGTGGTATCAGAGTATTTTCCATGTATTCATATCATTTGTATTTTTCTATCTCTTGTTTGTTTGTACACCAAGCCACATATTCCCCTGATACACATGAATTGATTATGAACTACATGTGTGTTGATATCTGTGGTTGAGGAAGATCACTCTTTCTCACCCACAAATTCATTTGTGGAGTCAAGTCAGTCAACCCAAGGTCATGTTCAGAATTGGGTTCAGATCATGTCAGGGGTGATTTAAGGACAGTCCTTACCTAAGTCAAGAATATCAATGATCCCTGTAAATATAAATCACTGCTTGCCTCACAGGCTTCTCTCCTTCCTGGAGATGAGGAGAAAACAATTTTTACATCTGTATTTGTCCTGAGATAGATATTTTCCATATAACATTTCTGCACTTATTTGAAAATATTCCTAATTGATTTTATGCCTCTGAAAGTGTATTTTTTGTTGCGATATGTGTGTGAATTTGGAGACAGATAATGAATCCTGAGTACATATTTGTGCTGATCTGATTGATGGTACTAGATGACTTGCTCTCTCTTAATTGAAGGCAAGTGGAGCATGGAAGTAAGGAAGCCACTGGGGTGTGAAATGATGTGGGTTTCCACTAATGAGGAGATAATTCTGCATGTCAGAAAAATCACCTGCCTGTTGCCTTGCAGCTGTGATCACAAACACATTCCCTGTGACCTCCACAGTACTCAGATTTTCAGAATCTGACTGTGCTACAGGATATATTCACAGACCATTCAGCATGTTCAAGGTTAAGGCTTTTCCCTTTCCATTCCTTTGGATCTCTTTAAAGAAAGATTGCTCAAGTTCTTTCTGTCCTGTTTTTAGATAAGGATGTGTGTCCACCTCCACTTTTTTTTTTCTGTATGGACTAACTCCTCCAAGCCTGTTTTGGATTGGGTAGGATGAGCCTTAACATGCATCTGCTGGGGCTGATTTCTCAGCCTGGATTTGGATATGTTTGCAATGTTTGGCATGAATTCTGGTCATGGTTTGCATCAGAAGTAATGACTAATGGGCTGTAGTAAAGATAAAGGCATGTTTGACAGTCTTAGGGTTCAAATCCTCACTGATGTAAGTTAGCAAAGTTCTTTGGAGGTCACCAAAGAGAACTGATTTACATCAGCTGAGGATGTGGTTGTTTCTCTGCTGGAGACATTTCACTCCTCTCTGTGTTTAATGGTTGTTGCTCTGAATCTGCTAGTTAGTGTGGTTCTGTGAGCACCATGGTGTGCCTGGTGATGATACCTTTGCTTGTGGCCTGGATTCAGTCTCCAAAAAAAAAAAGAAAAAAAAGGAGAACTCTCTTTTGTTTTCTTTGTTGTTAGAGCTCTTCAATGCAAAGCACCCAAACTGTGTTGGAGCAGATATTAACTGTTGGTTGATATATTTGGGGGTTTCTTATCAGGAAATTTTAACTTGCAATTTACTTCTGTTTAGTAATTCTAGTTATAACACCTGGAGAGTCAATCAATGAAACAACATTTAATCCTCTCAGTCCTGCACTTCCAGAGCTCAGTGATTTAACAACCCACAGCACTGATGCTCATGTTCTGCTTTCAGTGCTCATTCACCTGCCCAGCTCAGAAGCCACTGCTGCTCTTCATGGCCTTACTATAACCCCCAGGACTTCCAGTAGTTTTACCCTGTCTTGGGCAGCAGAGGATGAGGTATTTGACCAGTTCTTTATCACTCTGAAAGACTTGTCCAGTTTAAACACAACACAAGAAATAGTTTTGCTGGGAAACCATCGAGAAACAGAAATTACCTATCTCACATCTGGCACAAAATACCAGATTAACCTCCATGGAAGCACTCAAGGTCAGTTCTCTTGGTCCCTGGAAGCCTTAGCTACTACAGGTATTTGCTCCATGGAAGCACTCAAGGTCAGCTCTCTTGGTCTCTGGAAGCCTTAGCTACTACAGGTATTTTCTATGGATTCATTAGCCACATGTTCCTTTTGTGCTTTAAAATACAGAACTTCATTTCCATATGGCTGTTCCTCTCAGTGATGTTAGGCCTTGTGAGTGATGCATTTCCTCTAGGTTGGTTTATTCTTCCTTCTTTTTGCATGGGATAAAATTCTTATGTTATGGAATGAGAGTCTTGAGCAGTGCAGCATGGACAATGCCCCATGCAGCTTTTGAAGGTGATATAGCATCAAATCTCTCTTTTCCAATTGCATGCAAAGAGACATTGATGCATCTGCTATTGACAAAGGCATGTGAGAATAGCAGGATGGATTTGTCTGGACTGTGGTTCAAAGGCAAGAAAGAATGCAAGGAGGATGCAGTTTGTAGCATTGGCATGGAAGTGGTGATGACAGAGGAAAAAAAGATTGTAACACATTGGGAGTTTTCCTTGCCAAACACTTCTACATGGATTTCAGGAGGAATCAGGCCTAGAGCCACAGGGCTGAGAGTAATAATGATCAAAGCACCAGTGTGTAAATTCAGATCTGGAGAACCTACTGGAAACTACGGATGATGCCTGTCCATCACTCAAAACCAAACTCCCAACATGAGACACAGATTATTTCACATCAATTGCAAAGTCAAACCTGTCTCAGCTCTCAATGCTTTGCTCCCTTTTTTTTTTAAGTAAGAACATCACCCCTTGATATTTGTCATGATGTTGTGATTGTTTTGCCATCCGTGGTGGATGCTGTATGGGTGAGGCTTCTGGAGGTCTCCAACAGCTCAATTTGGTGCATGATTTCATATGAGAATCTCTTGGTCCCTGGAGAGCATGAGTGGGTTGTGTGCTTCTGTCTCAAGCATGCATGAGAAACAAGCAGGAGGTAAAGGGACTCTGCATCTTGGAGGAGAATGAAACTGAGCCCTCCAGAGAAATCTGAGCTGCTTTTAACCTGTGATGATTCCTGCATTACTTACTATAATCAAGCTTTTACTTAAAAGATTTCACCTTACTGTAACTTTTGGTTTAGTTTCATTTTCATGTGAAGGAAATGTGTTTGTTTTCTTTGTTTCTCTTGCCACCAACAGATCATTATTTCTGAAACAACCAGTTCCTTTTCTGTCCTGCTTTCTCTTTTTCCAGGTAACAGTGTTATTTTGACAGGATTCATATCTCACCTCAATGAATCTCCTTTTGTTCCTGATAAAGCAAGACAGCTCTGGATTCATGTATTTTTTTGTGTTGTTGAGCTGCATTGTTATTTCATAAACAACCTCTTTCCTTCTAACAGGATGGGAAAAGCTCATCAAAACATTTGTGCTCCCGAGTAGTAGCAATTTACTATATATTAATGAATCTCACTGAAGTTAATTATGATCTATGAGTTCTCAACCTCTGAAAATACAACCCCAGTTGCCTGTGTAAGGCTCTGAGCAGTCATAAATGAACACTATTTTTACAGGGAGAAAGTTTTATGTGAGTAATGTTGCTGAGCCTAATCTTCATTCATTGCAGAGCCCCTTTTAGTTCTGTCATAAAATATTCATAAGGCTTAAAGCTGAAGTTTACAACTGACAAATCTATTTCCCTTCATGCAGTGCCTCTTATCAATTCTTAGTCATGCAGAATGGGATTATTCAGAGACTCTGTTCTTATTCTAATGCTTATGTGTCAACAATGCAAATATGTAAGAAAAGTGCTAGAAAGTCACTGTAGTTCACAGGTCAGTGACAGATAATATAGCAAGATTTTCCAGGTAGAAAAAACAGGCAGTACTTTGCCCATAGGACTGTTAAGATTAAGCTATTTCTTTTGTAACAAAGGATTTTGTATTCTTGCTGAGAAAATGACCTAAGCTTTCAGATTTAACAGCATCAGAATTAGCTCTGATGTTTCCCACCTTCCTTGGGCACCCCTGTGATGGCTTATGAGAATGTGCATTTCTGTGAATACACATTTCAGTTTTGGATTGATATCAGTAAGGCTGAAAAACTAAGTTCCTCTGCCCCCAGGAAGGTTTTGTGGACAGAATAAAGTGATATAAGGAAGAGAAACCCATTAAACTAAAGACATGGAGGCATTTTCCTTTTGTTTATTGCTTTTTTTTTCAAAATACTATGGAAGAATAAATAACATCCTCCATGTGGACACAATTTAAAGCATAAACATTTGAATCTCAGCTAAACTCAGTGTCTTCCTACCCTTGCAGTTACTTCAGAATGGCAACAACTGAGTTGTTAGTGTAGTAAAGTTGTTCTAGTGATACTTACTTGTCTCATAGAGAGTTGTAATTAAGGTTGGCAAAACACTGCAGCAATAAGATGATCTATAAGCTGCTTTCTGTGAACAATCTCTTAGCATTAATGTGGGTGTTCCTTATTAGTACAGTTATTTCCTACTCTTCTGTTTTGCCAAGTCTCTGAAGAGACTTTACTTGTAGTTACCTGGGGCAGCTGAGAGTGTAAATATGTGTGGGGAGGCACTGCTGTGGCACTGATTGATTACAGGTGAAATTCATTAACACAAAGTCATTAAACAGTAGGACATCACCACTACTCTGTAATTTGAGTAACACATTGACTCTCTGTCCTTATTCAGCCAAGGAACCTGAGCTTGGAAAACTATCAGTATCAAAGCCTGGCTGGGATGGTTTCCAGCTCACCTGGACAGCAGCTGATGGGGCCTATGAGAACTTTCTCATTCAGGTGCAGGAGTCTGAGAATCCTGAAGGAACCAGGAATATCACAGTCCCCGGTGGAGAGCGGTCAATGAATGTCACAGGCCTCAAGGCCAACACACCTTATAACATCACACTTCAAGGTGTGATTCGAGGCTACAGGACCAACCCCCTTTCTGTTGAGACCACGACAGGTATCTTTGAGTCACTCCTCCAGGCTCATGGCTCTCTGCAGACAGGGATGGGAGCCAGAGCTACACCGAGTGCTCGGCAAAGCTTGCTCCTTTGGTTGGCTTTGCTTGGGGTGCACTGAACTCATGAGAGCTTGGCTGAACATCTCTGGCATGGAAATGCCTCAGGATGACACTTTCCAACAAGAGCCTCAGTGCCCTCATGCAGCCTGTCCCTTTTAGGAATGCTTTCCCCCACCTCAGAATGGCTTGTTTAGTTCCCTTTCCTCACTTACCTGCTGGTTGACACTAACAGCAAAACTCAGCTGGCTGTTGTACATGCTTGGGAAAGCTCAGGTTGCCTGGCAAAGTCATAAAAATCCTTTCTCTATAGCTCAGATTATCACAGCCTGAGAGTGTGTTTAGTTTATACCCTTCAGAAGCTGCAATGGGCAGAAATTATGCACTTACTTCTGTGTAACTACAAACTCAGGATGGATATAATGTGTCTGCATCTGACTCAAGGGCAAGGACAGACACTTTCTATATGTTTTCATTTAGAAAAGGCCATTAATTAATTTTTACCGAGAGTAGTATCATATATTAAGCCATCTAAGGTTGTCAAACAGTCTGATTGGTTTGAAAAAGCTAAAATGCAAGAGGACCAAATTCAGCAGCACTACCCTGGCATAAAACTGACCTGAAAAAAGAAAGGTCAGCCCTGTGTTATCAGAAGGTTTTGTGAAACCCATCAAGAGCCACAAAGATAATTTTCTTTTCATGTGAAAAGAAACAGTTTAAATGAGAACTTAGCACAAACTTTGGCTGTGGGAGGTAAATATCTACTTACATCTATCCTGCATGGCTCACTAATTCTCCCAGGTGTTAGCCATTGGTATTGAACAGGGTATTAATTCCTTGGCACTAAGGGGGCACCAGTGGCTCTTCCTTCAGATAATTTATTGTAGAAAATATATGCTGCCTTTAGGCTTCCTTACAGCCCTCTGCAACCTCCTGCCATTGTGAGATAGCCAGAGCTGGCTCACATTTGATTTCCCCAAGCACATATCATCCAGCACAGAAGGGGATAAAAGTACATGTAAGAGCTAATCAGAATTGAAACATGAAGCACAGTAGAGCTTGCTTGTTCCAATAGTGCTTTAAGCAGCTTGGCTTAGGCAGAAATGTGTCTGGCATCAGGCTCTTGCCTTGGGCTGTGTCCTGCTGCAGGCTGGAAGTCCTGTGCTTTGAGAGTCCTGAGTGTGTGCTGGAGGCAGATGCCCATTGAAAAGAGATCAGTGTGACTGGTCAAAGGGGCAAACAAGGAAACAGACATCATGGGTGTCCTGCCTGAATATGCAATGTGCTCTCTTCCTATTAACCTAATGAAAACAGCAGAAGATGCCCTGCTGAGGTTTTCCCTTCCCTTTCTGGGTCATTCTCAGCACTCTGCTTTTCAAAATTTTCCCTTCTGGGGACTTTGAATTGTCAGAATTTCCTGAACCTTCCTGTGACACTACAGGGATGTCCACAGAGAGGAAGAAACCCCAAAGTAGCTCTCCCTGGTTTGCATTTTGGCTCCAACTCCAAAATTACAAGCCAGCTTTCTTGGGCTTAAGCTGAAAGGGAAAGGAGAAGAGTAAACAAAACACAACCTTTTCCCTTGGGATGAAGCAATAGCTCTAGTTTTAGCTTCTTCTAAAAGTGGAAGCTTACTTTCCCAAATGCCCTGGGGCATTGCATCTGCTTTCATGCTCAGACCTCAAAGACGTGTGGCTGCTCCTGCAGGTAAATAGCCATAACTTTAGAGCTTATTTTTCTTTTTTTTTTTTTTCCCTCCTTATTTAATATTTAGAGATGCTTTCATTTGATGTCTTCCCCTTAGTCCCTTGTCTGCTTGTAGCAAGCTTTTACTCACCCCCTCTTCTCCAGCAGCAGCTTGGAGTGCTGCCAGCATGGGCAGAGAGGAGCATTTCTGAGCAGGAGAAAGTCCAGGGCTGTCCCTTCTGACCAGTGTTGTTTCCCTCCTTAGGACTGCACCCCGAAGTTGGTGAGCTAATCGTTTCCGACATTACTCCTGAAAGCTTCAACCTTTCTTGGACAACCACCAATGGAGACTTCGACGTCTTTACTATTGAAATTATTGATTCTAACAGGTTGCTGGAGCCCATGGAGTTCAACCTCTCAGGCAATTCAAGAACTGCTCATATCTCAGGGCTTTCTCCCAGCACTGATTTTATTGTCTACCTCTCTGGGATCTCTCATGGTTTCCGCACACAGGCAATAAGTGCTGCAGCTACAACAGGTACATAAAACCTACCTCAATGCTAACTCTCCTTTTTTTCTAACTCTTCCTTACAGGTTGTGCCCCTTTCCCTGCCCTCAGCTATCAGTCTACCCATTACCAAATCCTCATTGCTTGACACCTTCTAAGGAAGACCTGCTGGGGACATTTTGAACTGTGAATGTTAACCCTCCAGCCCATCCAGCAAAGTCAGTCAATCACATTGTGCTGTGATTTCATTCTCACAATATATTTGCTCTTGTTCGAATGTAAATGTTGGGGCAACCTCTTAGGCAGATGAGAAGCAAAACAAATTTCCCAAGAACCAAGCAGGAGGTGATTCATTATGTTTGCCTTGCAACATGTGTTTGCATCTGTCACACAGCAGAGAGGAGATGGTTCTGTCAGATAAGGCAAGATATTTATCCTGATAGATGTCAGGCACGTTTCAGTCTGTGCCAGCAGAATCCTGCAGGGCACATTCATTGCTTGAATTCAACTTCAGTATTCAGTTTACATTGGATGAGCGATTGAAAAAGTCCATTTGACTTGATGTTAGTGAGGGAAATAGGCAGGAGTTTAGTTGTTGGCACGTTGCACATCTCAAGGTTCTACAGCTGACAGCTCTTCCAGAAAAGACAGGCAACTCAAATGTTCTGTGCTCTAGCCAAGTACAGTGTGAGACTGGAAGGTGAGGACTAGACTAGACTAGAGAAGCAGAAGGTGCATTGTCACTGTAGGCAGATAATAGCTCATAGGTCATTTAATATCTCGACTGAATTTTGCCCACTGTCATGATCTTAGGAAAGGTTGTCATAGCAATTTGTCTTAGCAATAGAGTAATGTGGTCAAGGAAAGCAATATATCAAATTTCAGCTCTCAGATAATGCTGTTTCAGTTCCCAACATCAGCAGACTGTGAATAACTTCACTAAATGACTGGTAACGTGGGCAGGGTGACTGCTTGAAAAACGCTGAGAAACACAAGGTTAGATGACCTTTGTGACTTGTGGTCGTGTGAATTCAAACTTCTATATTGATTCATTTTATTGCTTTGGCTTTTAATAATTGCAATACATTTCCATTTGTTTTTCTTCCCTCAGTAGAGGAACCTCTCCTTAGCAAACTCACTGTATCAAATGCTACCTCAGACAGCATGTCACTCACGTGGGAAGCACAGGACAATGCCTTTGACCATTTTATTCTAGAAGTCAGAAACTCTGACTTCCCTTTGGACTCTCTGGTGCTCACAGTGCCAGGGACCTCCCAGCGCTATGTAGTCACCAACCTCAAAGCTGCCACTAATTACACTGTCCAGCTCCATGGTGTAATTGATGGGCAAGGTGGGCAGACCTTGACAGCACTGGCAACCACAGGTATTTTACTGTTTACCTTCAGGTTTGCTTTTTTTTCTCTTCTTTCTTTTGCTGTCACCCAAAACTGCTCTAAAACATGACTCCAACTCATCATCGTTCCTTTGGCAAACTACAGGGGAGGCTGAAATCCACTGGGCTTGAGAGGGCTTGGAAAAAGATCTGAGACACTGGAAAAGGCTGAAGAAGTGCTCCCAGTATTAAGAGAGCCAGTAGTAAACCATGATTGGTTTCCTTATATATACACTTCTCTGCAAGTTCTGTGTATATATAATTGATTTGCTCCAGATGGTTCGTATTTTTCACAGAGTATCTTTGCACTTGGTCTTGAATGAAGTTGTTCTTCATCCCACCTTCACTTGCTTTGCTGTGGGTGGGAGGCCTTCATGTCTTTCTCAGCCTGGAGAGGCACCTGCATGCCATTTTTGTTGTTCTTTCTTCAAACCAGATGTCTCCTGTGACATTTGCATCTCTTGTGGGAGTTTGATACAGCATGTGAAATGACCAACCAAAAGTGCATGGAGTGGTCTGGCCACCTTATGCTGGTTCTGATGGTCTTTTCTGCCCAGTGTTTTTATGTGTTCCCAGCAGAAAACAAGGCTCAAAAAGCCATTCACCCTTTCTTGATGGTCAACCCATCACTCTGTCACTTGCCTTTGAGTCTCTAAGACCTGTCTTGTTTCTCTGGATGTCAGAGCTTTTTCCTATGGTGATGGTGATTCCAGGATGGCAGGAGATGACTAAGACTTGCTTGAAGAGATAACTTCAACTTGTTTTGCATGTAGCATTCTTTGGAGTCAGGTTGTCATGATGGGAACATGCCTGACTGGATGCAAGTGGCATGTGAAGGAATGTGGCCATGCCAGGATGAGATTGGAAAGGTTCAGTTTGTCCTTCTGGCCTGCATGCGGAGCTGATGGCTCCATGCTCAGTTTCTCTGGGTTCTCCACCCAACCCTGTGTGCTTTGTGGATGTTTTCTCATCTCCTCCCATCATCAGGAGTACCATGCTTGCATGGTGACACCTTCCCTGTCACCATGAAGGCATTGATGGTCACTGGTTGAAAGCATGACATCTGCATGTGTCCTTAATCAGGGCCACTTGGATTCACCTTTTCCTAGGCAACTCTAGAGAAGCAGATGGACTATTATTTGAAACTCTTGCATTGAGGGAAGAGAGTAAAAGTTGGAACATCTTGCAGCAGTTCATGTTTTAGTTAAGAAAGAGATTTCATCCTTTCACCTCTCTCTCTGTTGGTGGGATGCATCTTTCTGACTTTTCTCCCAGCATGAATCACTTACAAAGTTATTTTTCTGTCTCTCACTGGCTGCATTTCCTGAGGTGTTCTTGGTTCATACTCAATTGGCAAGAGAAAAAATAGAAAATCATCCCTAAGAGCAGACACAGAATTCTCTGCCCAGCTCACTGCTGGGCCATGTTTGTGATCTCTCTATGCCTTAATGAATCTTTAATGATTTTATGCTAAATGGAATAGCTTTAAAACAGGCTTTCAGAGGTAAGGAGCTTTCCCCCTGCTGAAGGACAAGTTTCTCCTCTGACAGGGGAGAGATGTGATTTTGAATTTCCTACAGCAGAAAAGGAAAGTCTTTGCTTCTTAAGGAAGTGCCATGAGCACTGAGCAGTCAGAAAGGAGAGCAACAGCAGTGCTGTGGGGTTTTTGTTGAGTCTGTTAGCTATTCTCTGACTGCCTAATCACAGGATGAGGAACACCTTATCTTTGGAGTCCAGGGAGGTTTTGGCCTGAGATTAGTGCTGAGATAATCACTGTTAGGACTGAACCCCCTCCTAAACATCAGGGTCCAAAAATAGAAGTATCTACAACTCCAGGCAACAGAAACACCAAACAGAAGCTGAAGTGGGATTTCAGGAATTCTTGCCTGAATCTTACTATATCTGTTTGGAAATTGCTGTGGGTTTGTATTCCCATCAAACCCCCAGTGTGGAATTCCTGCAATTTGTATGCTTTTACCACAGAACTGTCCACTGTTGGTGCTTCTGTAAACCAGGCTCACATTGCATTAGGAAAATCGTGTTTATGTAAGAAAATTGAATGAAAAAAAAAAAAAAACCCTAAATTAAAAGTCAGCACTAATTTCAGTGGCTTCTTTCCAAAACCTGACAAAACAGCTGTGTAATGCCTCTTTGTTTTCCCCCTTCAACCACTGCAAAACAAGGCTGAAATGTTCAGCTTTGCCTTTGAGCATCTATAAACCTCCTCTGCTCATTCCCTCGTCCTCCCTGGAGTAATGCTGCCTCTTCACCTGTGTTCCTTTCTCCTTCAGAGGCTGAGCCACAGCTGGGCACGCTCACCCTCACAAACGTTACCCCTGACAGCTTCAACCTCTCCTGGACCACAAGAGATGGGCCCTTTGCCAAGTTTGTTATACACGTTAGAGACTCTTACGCAGCGCAGGAACCGCAGGAGCTCACGGTGTCGGGAGGCACTCGCAGCGCTCACATCTCAGGCCTGCAGGATTACACTGGCTATGACATTAACATTAAGGGGACCACCAGTGCAGGTGTTCACACAGAGCCCCTCACTGCTTTTGTCATGACAGGTACCTGCTTTAAGCTTTGGAGTCTATATATTGGCTCAGGGAAATATATATTCCAGTATGGTTAGTAAAGAGTTGACTCTACAGCACTGAACGTCCAGCAGCAATGGGTTTGTTTGCAAACTTAGTGCAAGGAGGGGTCAGACATGTCATGTTGACCTTCAGAAAACTCCTGGGAGCTGTAGTAGTTTCAAGTGAGTTAAGAGATCAGGTTGGATCGGGGGATTCAGCAACCTGGTGGAGTGGGAGGTGTCCCTTCCACTAGGTCTGGGTTGGAAGGGAGCTTAAGGAAAATCTCATTCCACCCCCTGCCATGGGCAGGGACACCTTCCACTAGTCCAGGTTGCCCCAAGCCCCATCCAACCTGGCCTGGAACACTCCCAGGGATGGAGAAGCCACAGCTTCTCTGGGCAACCTGTGCCAGTGTCTCACCACCCTCACAGGGAGCTTCCCACAGTGAGGAAAACATGTGGCACCCTACACTGTGCCAGCAGTTCACCTAAACCTGGTGTGTTTGGAGTGTTGATGTCACTCAACACCTATCCCAGGAAAATAATGTTAGCAGTTTGGGCTCAGTATTTGTTTACTCACCCTCCCAAAGACCAACCCCAAATGTGCATCTTTGGGATTGCTTGATTAGCAGCAAGCAAGATGCAAAAGTATCTCCAAAAGGAGTAAAATTTGAGTTGAATTTCTGGCTCACAAATGTGTAAATATTAAAGCATAAGGACTTCCAAATTATAACACTTTAGGTGGGAATTTTTATGCCAAATTCTAACAACATCAATTTCAGAGGTTGGGAAATGTCAAAACCAAACCCAAAGGCCTTTTCCAGATTAGATTCTTTTTCAACTAACCCATATGTCCTTAAGGTAATAAAATTTGAGTGGTTGGAAGATTGGATGAGCCAGTTTCTAAGCCAACAGCAAAAGGCTTGACAAATAGTATAGAGCAATACAAGCAATGTGTGGGATCCAGGATCAAGGCCCTGGCTTAGCAGAGCCAGCTGATCTTCCAGTTGGACTTGTCAGATTTTGGTGAGCAAAATACACTCAGAATCTTGTGGCCTTTGTTTTCCTGAAACTTGGCAGCTAAGTTTTGAAGGGTTGATCCACAGCCTTTGAACCTTGACATATATATATCACTCTGATGTGGAAGGAAAAAAGACTCCTCACTGGAATTTCTTTAAGTTGTCAACATACCACTCTAGCAGCTGCCTAGGAAGCTCTTTGGATGCATTATTTCTATGCCCTGGCTCCTGCCCTGAGCCTGTGCTGGTTTCTCTCCTATCCCCTGCAAAAAGCAGTCTTGCAAATATTAAATACTTGCAGTGGCCATGGCCCTGCCTGATGAATGTTCTTACAGTCTTTCTGGCATCTCTGTCCCCTCCACCACTAATAATTAAAGCTGGAGATATTCACATGAAGTAGAGAGGTAAAGAAACAAAACACAGGAGTTGTGAATGTCAAAGTTGAGGCCTGTCCCTAAAGCACTGAGGGTAGAAACAAGTGGAAGGAAACCAAAGCTTTATGCATAACTTTTCTAAAGCAGTTTTGGTTATAACTGTCTTACACTGCATGTGGAACAGGAGAAATGCACAATGACTTTGGAAAGAGTTTCAATGGAGCTTGTGAGATGAGATGCTGAGACACCCTTGATGAAAATGGAGAGTTGAGCATCTAACTGGAAGCTCCATTGAAAATCCTCATCTCGTGGTCCTGGCTGTGCACTTCTATTAAATCCATACTTTGGGGGAAAATGTGTTTTTTATTCGGTGGAATCTGTGACACTTTCTAATTTGCAATGTTTTTTCGCTTCTTTTTTTCTGTGTGTTTTTGCACCTTCCCTTCTTTTAGAGGCCATGCCCCCACTGGAAAACCTAACTGTGTCTGATATTAACCCCTATGGGTTCACAGTGTCCTGGATGGCATCGGAGAATGCCTTTGACAACTTCCTAGTAGTCGTGGTGGATTCTGGCAAGCTGCTGGACCCACAGGAGTTCCTCCTTACAGGAGCCCAACGGCAACTGAAGCTTAAAGGCCTAATAACTGGCATTGGCTATGAGGTTATGCTTTATGGTTTTGCCAAGGGGCACCAAACAAAGCCCCTGAGCGCTCTGGCCGTTACAGGTATTTTAATGTTGAACAAATTCTTCTCTTCCACCTTTTCTCTCTTGCTTTCCTTCTCACATGGAAGATGTTTCATGCAATCCATTTGCAAAGCAAACCTTGGCTTTTGCATCCTTCTCTGCATCGTGGCTACACATAACTCCTCGTGACTGAGAGGTTCACCAATGGAATTCCCTTCCTTTTAACTTGATGTTTCCCTTTTGTCCATGTGAGGGATCCTGTAGAGGAGCATGTTGGGGATTGAGGGGTGAAAGTTTCTGGTATGGTCTTGAAGGTACTTCTAACCAAAGTCTTTAAAGAAGAATGGCTGCATGTGGGAGTTCGTCTTGTTAACAGCTGCTGGGCACATCAACATTCTCCAACAACAGCATTCACCTACTTGCCAACCATCAGGACTTCAGGAAGAGCCATGGATTTCTTGCCATGGCCTCCTTTCTTTGCCTCTCTGTGTGGGTTCCACCCACAGACCATCAAGTGTAATCACTGCCACCCACAGGGTTGGCATCTCTCTCCACGTGTTTCCAACTACATCATAGCTGCTGGTTTCTAGCAGCACTTGAGCTTTCTTGGAAAATCATTGCAGATTGATTCTCTAGCCCCATACCCATCAGTTCTCATCTGCATGTTGCTGTCTGTGCAGCAGCAAAGCTGGGGGTTATCTGGCTGGAGGCTATGAGAAAATACATAGGGAGGTCTGTCAGTGGGAGAAAGAAGTTCATCAGAGATGCTGTGTGACAGTAACTGCTCCAACAGCATTTCTCTAAGTAATGATGCCTGACCATACTGAGTTAAAGATGTTTTGCAGGGAATTAATAACTTCCAGCTCCTGGGATCCTCTTGAGTGGGTTCATTCACTAAAGACAGTAGGTTTTGCATTTGGATTGATATGTGCTCTTTAGGGGATATGGATTTTCATGACTCCCCTCTGCTGCTTCAGCAGTTGTTTAAGAGGAAAGCAAAGGATCAGAAGCATCATAAGTGCCAGAATTGCATGAAATAAGGGGTTTGCATGAAGGAAAAGTCTCTTTCCAGTGGCTTCTATGTTGTCCTCCTAACAGAGAGAGACCTGACCATGTCCCAGGCATGTTCTATAACAAGAGCTTGTTGTTATCATACATGAAGGTGTCACATAGGTAATGAGGGAGAAATGCACAGGAAACTTACCATTAGCATGTGTAACTTTGCATGTTGGAGGCAAATGGTGTCTGTCCATGCAGTGGATTTGCTGTTCAAGAGTGGAAGTTGGAATGGACCTGCACACACTCACATGTGTCTTCTCCAGTATGTGTATAACACTAATAATCTTTTTTTTCCCCTTCACTAGCTGGCAGATTGTTTCCCTTTCCTTGAACTGTGGTTGGATTCTTGCAGTGTGAAAGACCTCAGGCAGGTCTCAGATTTAAAAAATCATTTCTTTTCCCTACTGCTATCTTCTCCTTTTTTAGAAGCAGAACCCGAGGTCGACAACCTTCTGGTTTCAGACGCGACTCCAGATGGATTCCGTCTCTCCTGGACTGCAGATGAAGGGGTTTTCAACAGTTTTGTTCTAAAAATCAGGGATACCAAAAGGAAATCTGACCCACTGGAGCTGATAGTACCAGGCCATGAGCGTACCCAGGATATAACAGGGCTGAAAGAGGGCACAGAATATGAGATTGAGCTCTATGGAGTTAGCAGTGGACAACGTTCCCAACCCGTAAATGCAGTAGCAACCACAGGTATTGTCTTTGCAGTAGGAAAAGTGTGATGTGTTCATGCCTGTTTTTTTCAGCATCTTCTTTTCATAGCCAGCCCCTGCTGTTCCTGAGGTGTCTGCACTGTCTCCTGCATGTCCCTTACCCACTGGTTCAGTGGTTATTTATAATCAGTCTCAGATTCCTTAGTTTCATCACTGTCTATTTAATATGGTTTAATTGAATTACTTTCATGATCTGGAATTAGGCAGCAGAGTCTAGCAATTAAAGCACAGTCTTTGAGGGCCAAGAAAAATTGTCTCTGCATCAGCCTTTTTCAGTGATTTCCTGTGACTAATTACATCTCAGCACTGCACAACAATTTACCTCCCTAGAAAAGAGTTATGACAAAATGAATTCCCCAGAGCCATTGAGAAGCTTATTTATGGCTCGATCAGCAAAGGACTAAGCACCATTAACTTAGACTAATCTTACCAACAATAACATATGCTCAATAATTCAAATTAATTTGAGTTTCTTGCAATATCAAAGCTTTGATTCACGTTCATAATTGAAGCATTTCATTCTGGCACTTTGAAATGAAGCTTTTCATTTTTTTTTCCCCCACCAAAATCATGATTTCATTTGGAAACATATTTAAACCTAAAGCAAATGAAGCCATGTCCCAGGTGCCAAATTCACTCTTTGAAATATTTTGAGCTTGCTTATATGAAAACAGCTTATATTTCAAAACAGTTTCATTCTGGGAGGAGCTGAAGAAGAAGGGGACAGGTCTCTGAGGGGAGACCCCATAGTAGTCTACAAATACCCAACGAGAGACAGTGCAGGGGCAGCACTGATCTCTGCTCACTGTGACCAGTGACAGGACATGATGATCTTTGAGGTCTCTTCCAACCTGGTTGATTCTATGATTCTATGAGCCAGGGAATGACTGGAGCTGTGTCAGGGGAGGTTTAGGTTGGATATTAGGCAAAGATTCTTCTCCCAGAGGTGTTTGGGCACTGAACAGCTCCCCAGGGCAGTGGGCACAGCCCCAAGGCTGACAGAGCTCCAGGAGTGTTTGGCCAATGCTCTCAGGCACAGGGTGCAGTGTTGGGGTGTCCTATGCAGGGACAGGAGTTGGGCTTAGGATTCCTGTGGGTCGTTTCCAACTCAGGATAGGATGCTAAGTTCAGTATGTGAGGAAGCCACCAGAAATGCCTAAGAGAGGCATTTGCCAGGCTGCAGCAGTGAACTCCAGACAGCATCCAGAAAGAATGGACAACAATAACTCAGTATTGAACAGCTTTTCCTGAAATAGCTTCACCCTAATGGCTGTGGAGCCAGTTGTTAGCATGGAAAGGCACATTTCTGACCATCCTCACTGACTGCCATCACATCCCTTGAATAAACAGCCAGGCCATACATACACTCCCCCAGACATTTACATGAAGCAGAACATGCATCCATCACAAGCCACTGTTCTCCAGGCTCATGCTGTTTGACTCATAATGGAGAGGGATGTCTAAAATTCCACTGCTCTTGTTAACAGCATGTCCCCACTTCCACTGACTTCCAGGATATTTATGGTAAACCACTAAGAGTTATCATTTTCCTCATGACTACATTCTTGTTCAGTTCTTTCAGGGAGACTTAGCACATGGCACCTACAGAAGCCAATAGCCCAAAAAGATGTTTGTCAGCTGTAAAAAGCCCATGGATAATTGACAATAAGGCTGGAGCCACAAAAATCCAGCAAAATAATTCAGCCTGCAGGTTACACCACTTTGGGTGGTTAGGCTGCCAAGGCATCTAACTCATTTCTTTTTTAGGATAGGAGTTAATTATTGCACAAACATATATATATTTATAGCATTTCCAGTCTGGTTGCAAAGAAATATTTCTCTCCCTGAAGGGGGTAGCTCAGACAGGCTTATGTACATAAGCTGTACTTTATTCTGGCCTCTGTACAAGTGAGCAAAGAATAAATTAGCTATGAAGTCTTTAGCTTCAGGAGAGGAGTTAGTAAAATAACAGTTGGAACATAGCTAGGAAACAGACCAGCAAATAGAACCATGGAAGTGAAGGTGGGAAAATAATCTAGATCAAAAGTCCTACTCTATTCATCACTCATAGCTTTCCCCTTCTTCACTACCTGGGCAAGGGCCCTTGTGTACACAAATACAGGGGATGGAGGGGGAGGAAAGGTCTTGAGTGTTCACCCTCTGCTGCCTAGTCCCCCTCACTGGTTTTCTGCCTTCTTTCTCTTTTAAAAAGCCAGCAAGTGACAGCCATGGGCTTTGGATGTGGAAAGGATGAGTAGAGCAGGACTGGAATTCACTGTTTTCTTCATATCTCTGGTGTTGGTCCTGCAGTTGGTAACTTGCCTGGAGGCTGAGATGATCTCCCTTCCCCCTGTCACACCAGGAATGTGATGTGAAACCCCTGGGCATGGGAGTTGACAATAAAGTCATGCCTTCCCACATCCATCATTATTCTTCCTCCATAATTTACTCCTATGTATAGTTGAACAGCACTAGTTTTCCCCTAGAAGTGCTGGTAATGATCCTCCTTGGGGTGGTGATGGCACCCACTCTCCCTGCCCTCTGGCATTTTACCTTCAGCAATTCTGCTCTGCTAGAAAACACTCAGTATAAAATCACTCTGGTGCCAGGCAGCATCATACAGACCTGCAGGGTCTGATCAAGTGGTACAAGGGAGTTTGTCCTCTGCTGCTCTCAGACAGTTGGTGTCTTTTAAAATCTGTAAAATGCCAGTTAAGGTGCAATTCAACCCCCACCAGGAACCTCCACCACACCTATGTGTCACTTCATACCCTCAATAGGAAATATGGGTCTCATGCTGCTATTTTCCTCTCCCTCTCATGATGTTTTTCCACACTGTGACAGAATTTTTCAGCTGAGATGATCACAAAACACTTCACATGCTCTTTACACAAGATAAATGTCACCTGCTGCTTCCTGCTGCTTAAAGGAAGAAAGCCAGGGAAAATGCTTCTCTAATTTGTTAGGAATAAAAGAACAATTAGCAAAAAGCATCCCTAAAGAACAGCAGCTACTCAGGTAGTCTGGGTGCTTTAGCAGCATCACAGGGAAGTGCTCCATCTCTCATACAGCTCATGGGGAATGATGCTGGAGGTTCCTGCCCAACAGATGACCTGAGAGGGTTTATGAGTGACAAGTGAGAAGCACACTGGCCATTTTCTGTGCCTGCTTAATTCTGGATTTCAGGTAGCTCAAGAAGATGATTTCATTTGCTTCCTTTTAATTTCCCTGTGCTCAAAGGTACAACCCTCTTACATCTCTGGGACTCATTCCAGGACTGATGCTGATGGTGCATTGTATTTTTTTGCCAGGTTCTCTCCCAGGAAAGTAGTTGCAGTTGGAAAACTTGAGGATGTGTAAAACTCACATAGTCAAAGCTTTTTTTACTATTCTTTGTTATGCAGTTCACCTCATACAGAAAGTAACCAAGAAGCCCATGGAAGTTTGCACAGCAGAGTCCAAATGGGAGGGATTGGGTATTTTATTTTCTGGGAAAGGCTGAAATTCCCTATGTGTATGAAAACCAAGAGCTGGTCCATCTCTTTGGTCTCCAAAGTCACCATTAGCATTTTTCTTCAGCCACTAAGGGCACCTATAATGTAAAGCAAAATCAATTTGATTTTCAGTTTTCCCTCTTTCCCAGGTTTTCTTTGTGCTCTTCAGTTCCCTTCAGACTTGTACCTAAATCAGCAGCTGCTCAGTGTGCCACATAGCTTTTCTAACCCCACCTTGCTTGCTTTGTTATCTGTAATGCTTTTCTTTCCTTGGCTTTGCCATGTGAACAAACCCCACAAACTCCACATGTCTAGTGAGCTCCAGAGAGATAATTAACATTTGTCTTGAGAGCTCAACTGTTTTTCTTTCCTTGCCTTGCAGTTGATTTAGTGCATTGCTGCTAGAGCTTTGGGGACACATGGAACAAACAGCCCTCTGACTTCTTTCCTGCAGACACGTTCTTTCCAAGCTATTTCAAGCACAATCCCTTTTTTTCTCTCCTCTTGCCCCCCTTCCCCTGCCCTTAGCCTGTCTCCACTCCTCTTAATCTGGCTGATGTTTGGTATCTCTCCTCTTTGTGCTAATGGCCTACTCTGTGTGTGCTGTTTATCTTTTTAACACATCAGGGTTGTTTTGGTTACAGTCAAAAAAAGGTGCAAAGATTGGAAGAGAGATGCTCAGTGTAAATCTTGAAGTGGCAGGTCTCCTTACCCCATCCTTCCAGGAGTCCTCTTGTTTTGCAGGAGCTTAATTAAGCCTCAGACTGGAATGTTTCAGATATGTGCTGGATTCTTCTTCAGGTTGGGTCATTTGGGCAAAACTTGGGCTTTGTTTGACCTTCCTGATCCAATTTAGATGGGCAAATGCAGTGCTCAGGTTTAGACAGGGAAAGGCTGTATGGCAGAGCTTCAGTGGAACCACAAGTGTGGGAAGGTTGTACTTGGAAATCCTCTGGATGGATATGCTTGAAGGTTCCTAAGAAAAATCAGGGGCTCAGAGAGAGATTCCAAGAGGAAAACATTATGACTTCTAGTTTGAAGACAACAGAAATTACAGGCAGTCAGGGATTGAGAGGAGCCTTGATGGACTCCCACACCTCAGTCCAGGTCTCCTTTAGGCATCCTATAGTAGAAACATGATGCTCAAGATGAAAGATCTGTCCATTGCTAAGTGCTGCCATTGCTGCATATCACAGAGGACTCTGAGACTCAATGGAAGGTCTAAAAATCATCCAAGTGAAACTGGGCTAGGAAAAGTTCTAACTGCAGTGTCTTCTGGGTGATAGAATGGCATTTGTGTACATGTTCCTCCATGCTTTGCTCTAACACTGAAATCTCTGTTACCTCTGTGTAGATACAAGTTGGGCATTTTTAAGTTATGCACTACTGTAATTGGTCCTGAGAAAGGAAAATTTAGGCCAAACAGGTTGTTACTGTAATCAAAACTGTCTGGTACTCCCTGCATTAGTGTTGTTCAGGGCAAAATATTGGTAGCATCAGCTCTTGGGATAGAAGGATAAGACAAATCAGTGCTCCAGCACTGAGGACTGATACACAAATGATTTACCTGCTCTTTCTTGGTGGTGTGCTCTCTGTTCTCTGCTGACAGCTGTTGGATCTCCCAAGGGAATTTCTTTCTCTGACATCACTGAAAATGCAGCCACAGTCAGCTGGACACCTCCTCGCAGCCGCGTGGACACCTTCCGCATCTCCTACGTCCCCATCACAGGAGGTGAGTCCCTGTGAGCAGGGAGAGGGAGGAAAAAGGGTTTGCTGTGCTGATATCCATCTCCCAGATGATCTTACATGGATCACCTCTTTCTGCTTCACACTGCTGACCAGGAATGGGGATGTGTAGCCAATCCCTGTCTGAACAGATGTTCATCCCATGAACAAGAGTTGTAAGGAAGCTCAGAGGTAGATGTTGGAATGGTTGTACTAATGTCTCTCTCTGAGCCTCCTCAATAAGGATTTATTTCCAAACTGTCTCATTATTTTGTAGGTACTTTATGAGTGAAGCACATTACCAAAGATGGCCCTTGGAAATAATAATCATAATCCATGGTTCTAATAGTTTACCATTACTTTACAATGTTGTCTCGTTCCACCCACTATAGCTCTGGTTTAGTGTTCAACTTACAAAACTTCCTATACTTCTACAGATTCTTAGCATGACTTAGGGACATCTCTGAAGGGAAACAGCTAAAGAGCAAATACTAAAGACATCAAGACCAAAAAGGACACTCTGTTGGCTGAGACAAGTAAAGCCTTTAGACAATGCAGTATGTAAGCACACATGCAGCTTTAAATATATAGTGGTCCCACTGAAGAAAAGGAATCCACAGTCATAAAGTTAGGCACTTGTCTAAGTGCCTTCCTGGAATAAACCCAAAATTTGAAATAAGTATGTGTCCTAAGTCCTCACCACACATGCAGCACTTCTTGAAATAATATATACTGTATCTTGATTTGAAATGAACTGGGGAAAGGAAAAACTTCCAGCCCTTACCAGAAATGAAGCAGATTAAACTGCAAGTTCTGTCCTCACAGGTGTTTCACCTTCCACTTAGAGGGTGATGTGTTTTCACTTTACATCTCATTTGTGAAATCCCAGAATCCCAGACTGGTTTGAGTTGGAAGGACCTTAAAGCCCATCTCATTCCACCCCCCTGCCATGGGCAGGGAAACCTTCCACTAGAGATGTTAATATTTTCTTACTGAATACAAACCAATATCTTAGATTTGGGTGTCACTGCATCAATATTTTACCCTGAGGTTGTTCTTGGACATCAGTGGTTGTAACTGAGGAAAGTCACCTCCCCCTGTACAAGTACATCCATGTTGGTCATAGTGTTTTTAACTTGAAGCACATCCTTCAAGCTTTGACTGGAGTATTTTGACACTAACCCCTTGGCATTTGGCCTCATCCTAGGTACTCCAAATGTTGTTACAGTCGATGGAAGCAAGACAAGGATCAAGTTGATGAAGTTAGTCCCAGGTGTAGACTACAATGTCAGTATCATCTCTGTGAAAGGCTTTGAAGAAAGTGAACCTGTCTCTGGCACTCTGAAAACAGGTAATAAAGAGAGAGGAAACAGCAGGTTTTCAAATGTAACATCTGTGCTGGATGAGAGACTCAGGAACTGGAGCTGCAGACCCACTGAGATCCCATTTTTGCTGTCCACACAAACTGTAGGAAGCTTTTTGCCCACTCCTTCTTTGTGTCTTTCAGATGAGTACACAACTTGCAAGTTTGGTCAGGCTCCCATTTGCTAAGTGCTAAACCAACTTGTCATGAGACACAGGCAATTCATGTATTTATAGCCCTAATACATCAGAGAAAATACCAGAAGTTTAATGAATGTCATTTCTGAGATGAGGGAGCAAAGGGCCAGCTCAGCTGAGCAGTTCAGACCCAGACTCAAACTCCACATCTGCCAGAACTTCCAGAGTGTTCTAAGCATAAAAACATTTCTCTCCTGGTTTTTCTTCCATAAAGCTTTAAATATCCCTGCAGGAAATGAGGGTTCACTCTGCTCCTGCACACCTCTCCCTTCATTCATTCTTTCTGAGGGGGCTATCAAGCATCCAGAGAACTGAGGCAAGGAACAAGATTATGAGTATTGGATAATAACTGGAGATTTATAGCCCATTGCAGCTGTACTGGAGGCAGAGATCCATCCTAATTCAGGGAGAGCATAAACCTGTGTGAAAAACAGAGTCCTGTGAGGAGGCAAGGCAGGGGGTGTGAGGATTTGGGATGCTTGGCTGCCTGTGTGATTGATTTATTTTAAACTTGCAGGACAAGCTGCTGGAAGGTCACAGTGGCTATCAGTTGCCTTCACTTTAGTTATTTTTCCCAGCTCTGTCTCCTGAGTTTGCTCCAAAAAACCAGCCAAGATTTGAGGGTGTTGAGAGAAATATGTCAGCTCTGACAGAGCTGCTAAGATTGATGGTATCAGACTGCTCTGAGAACATGGTTAGTTCTGTCTGTTCCCAGTGTTTCATCTCTTTAGGAGTTGACCTCCCTTTACCAGTGGAGACTTTTAGTGTCTCTTTATAGGCACTGATGTCTTTCCTGCAGAGCTCCACTATTCCAAAGGGGATCATAAAAGCTGCACCAAGCAGCAATGTTTGTGCATTTTCTGTCATATATTTACAGCAGAGGATTGCACAGAGCTGAGAATGTTTGTCAAATTCCTTCAATCTGTTTTTCTTCCAGCTCTGGACAGCCCATCAGGCTTGGTAGTGGTGAACATCACTGATTCTGAGGCTCTGGCAACCTGGCAGCCAGCAATTGCTGCTGTGGATAACTATGTGGTCTCCTATGCTTCTGGGGAAGGTAAGAAGAGTTAGGGATGGGTTGGGGAGTTGAGGGGTGACAACTCTTGAGAGGTATTGAGGAATGAGTGCAGCAATGTAACTCCAGGAAGATTATAGAATATCCTGAACTGGAAAGGACCCACAAGGAACATCAGATCCAACTCCAGGCCATACACAGGACAGCCCAACGACCCCACCATGTGCCTGAGAGCATTGGTCAAATGCTTCCTGAGCTCTGGCAGGATTGGGGTTGTTTTTTTGGAGGAGATGCCTTGCTGGAAATATTTTTTAAAAATGATGGGTTTAGTTAAGAATCCTCAATGCAGCCATGAAGAGAGAGAAGTGAGATCCTTGAAAAGCAGAGGTGGTGTTGTAACTCCTCTGAACACTAGAGAGTGCCCAAGCTTTTAGAGAAAGGGCTCTGGTGTTCATTCAGATTCAGCAGAGGTGTCAGCACAGAGATGAGCACTGGGAATTTGCTATATTGCACTTGCACCCAGTGAAAACACCTAAATCAGTGAATGGAGTACACTGTGACATGTCTGAGTGATGGCAGCTTCTGTTCTCTTTTGTTTTCCTTTTAGAACCAAAAGTTACTCACATGGTGTCAGGAAACACTGTGGAGTATGACCTGAAGGGCCTTCAACCTGCAACTGAGTACACACTGAGTGTCCACGCACTGAAGGACACACAGATGAGCCAGAGCCTCTCCACCCACTTTACTACAGGTGCTATGTCCAACCCCATCACAGGAACCTTCTCTTCCAGTCCCACCTGCCTTAGGTTTCTCTGGTTTCATTAAGTCAGACAACACCTTGGGCTTTTTTCACTAGGAAACTGAATTGTGATAGTGTTTGTCTCAAATTTTCTTTGGTGGAAGTCAATGTGACTGGTCTTCTGTCACCAGTTCTCACACAGAGCTGGAGCATGAGCTCTTCTTGGGGGATTAATGTTGGGGTATCAATGTTTAGGTACCCAACTGGTTACACACCTATGGCTTCCCATGAGCATCAGGGAAATCATGAGCATTTCTCATTGTCCTGGCTCTGCTTGACTTGTCTCAGTGCCAAGAACTGAGCCACACTGATCCAGAGTTAGAATCACAGAGGAGAAGCTGTAGCCAGACCAAGTCTGAAAAGTTTTCCTATTCAAGGAATCATCACTGGAACCAAAGTTTTATTTCCTGGGAATATGTAAATACTGATCTGTCTTGTTGTGTGAAATCATGAAAGGCACAATTTTCTTTCAAAGGACACTTGAGTGTAACTGCTCATAAACTGAAGTGCCCAGGACATGCCAATATTTTCACCTAGATAAAGTAAATACCTTCATTTTAAAACTTCCAATGGGAAAAAGACTTTTTAACCACAACACTTAGGATAAAATGTTCTTTCATTTCAAATTTCTGGGGCAAGAAGGCTTTTCTGGCCTGTTTCAATACACAGCCCATAAGATAGTCTGTGTACTTAACTCTTTATAGATGTGATTGTAATTGCTTTGTTGTTTCCTTCAGGACTGGATGCTCCAAAAGACTTAAGTGCCACTGAGGTTCAGTCAGAAACAGCTATGATATCTTGGAAACCTCCACGTGCTCCTGTCACTGGATATCTCCTGATTTATGAGTCCATTGATGGCAGAGTCAAGGTACAGCACTGTGCCCAAACCAGAGTCTCAAATCTGGGCAGTAGAGATGCTCTGAAAGGAGCAGCAATGGGACATTATCATGTGCCTTAAGTTAAACATGGTCAAATACTAATTGCCTGTTTCAGTGCTAGACAGAACACAAATGTATTGCAAGAGCTTTTCTACATTATACCCTCAAACAGAAACTCCATTGCAGCCTGAATTTTGACACTTAACTCTCCACAATACAGATAAAAGCACAAGGAATCATTTTCCCTCGTTCCAAACCTGTACCATGGAATAAACTCACATATCCTTGAGGATGAGATTCTTTTTTCTAAACTCAGGAGAACTCTTCCCTGTGCAAACTTGAGGAAGAATCACCTCTTGTTCTCCAAAAGTTTTATTCTCTTCCTCCATAATTACATTACACTAAATGCTCAAATATGAATCAGGTGAATCCCAGCAAAAATGACAATTTGGGATGCCCAGCCCAGTACATCAGAGAGGGTTCTAATTTTTAAATCAGGGCAATTCCCTAAGCACACTAAAAATCAGTTGTTTAATGTCCCATTAAACAGCCTTTTGAAGACTGGAATAATAACATTTCCTTGTCCTAAGGGATGATTCTTCTCAATTGTTTATAAGCTTCACAATGTGAATGGTCAAGGGATGTAAACATTTCTGCTGCTTTGCTTTTAAACCACATACCTTAGACAGGGTGCCTTTCCAGGCAAACTTTATAGAACTTTTAAAGAGAATTAGCTTGATAAAAATCTTAGAGACATATTTTGTATCGATTCATCTGGATGATGACAAATACCATGAATAATTGCTACAAAAATTAATGTGATAGACTAAAATATGTAATTATTCTCATCGCTGTTATTTTTTTCCCTATATTATTACTCCACAGGAAGTCATCTTAAACCCTGACACAACTTCCTACAGCCTGGCAGAGCTGAGCCCATCTACCCAGTACATAGTGAAACTCCAGGCACTGAGTGGATCCCTGAGGAGCAAAACAATCCAGACTATTTTCACCACAAGTAAGGACTTTAGAGCACATTCATAGCTGAAATAACATCTAAGTAGCTGCTCTGCAATAAGCAGACATAGAAGATTTTAATCCAGTTGTCAATATGCACTTGGAGTGTGGGTGCAAAGGTTCCTGTTCCCCTTGAGTTGTCCTCAGGAACTCTTTAAAATCCAACTGACACCCTGATGTGGCTCTGTACTGGTGCACAGTGAGCTGTTAAATCAGTGTTTTGAAGCACAAACACACAGAGCAGTGCAGTGGTCAAAGGACATGAATTTCTGGGCAGGTTTTTCCTCCTCTCTCACTCTCAGATGGGCTGTCTCAAAGCCACACAGCACATCTGCTCCAGCCCTAACAGGACAGCTCTCCAGTGAGCTGCATGCAAGAATAGATTGGCTTCTCTGTAAGTCACTTCACAGCTGACCTTAAAAAAAAGAGAAGTTTTTCAGTATTAGCTGTGACACTTTGCCTGTCATTTGTCTCACTTTTCACAGTTTCCAGCATTTCAGGCCCAGCAGGACCTTCAGCCATTCCCATTCTCCCTCCTGCTGCTCATACCAACTTCAGCCCAAGGACTCTCAGAGTGTTAATAAAAGTCACACAGCCTTGAGCCTCCTCAGGCACTCCTTGTGCAGGGCAGGCTGAAATCTCCCAAGAGCAGTGGAGTTCCCATTCCCAGGATCTGCCCCTGACTGTGCCATTGCCCCACGATGGATTTTCCTGAGTCATCTGTATTCACCAGATTCCTCGTAACTGCTGATTTCTCAAGGGCTGTTTTCTCTTCTCTTGTATGTGCAGCTGGTCTTCTCTATCCTTACCCTAAGGATTGCTCCCAGGCTCTCCTGAATGGGGAAACCACCTCTGGGCTCTACACAATTTACCTGAACGGGGACAAGGCTCAGCCTCTGCAAGTCTTCTGCGACATGGGCGAGGATGGGGGTGGATGGATTGTGAGTATGAGGGAGAGGAGCAGCAGATCCCATCCCTGCCCATCTGTGGCATCCCTCATAGTTCTTTAGTATAAAACTATGGCTTATATCTTGTCTATAGATTTGAGGAAATATATCCTGGATAGGACTCCCTAGAGCCAAAACAAGATTACCAGGTTTTTTTTCTGTAGTTGGAGAAGACAGAGGTATCTCCAAAGGATGGGTCATATCAGTGGTTTCAGCACCTAGGAAATGTGCTGAACCCTCTCCACTGGGACTGCTGAAATGATCATCTTAGATTAGATACACATCTTCTAAATAGTTAATGAGGTGAGGGGAGGGTGAACTGAGTATTTGAATGAGTGTGAGTGTGGGAGGTGGAAGCACACACCATTTGTTCTGCAGCCACATGGCGTGGTGGCCAACCAGGCTTCCCAGGCCATTGTACAAGGGGCACATCCCACCCAGAAAGCAAATGAATGGCATTAAAAATGTCAGTTCTCAGCTGTCCCTACTGACAGCCTCAAACGTGAACGTGCCAGGGGGATCCTGGGCATGGAAAGGAAGAAGGAGCTGGAGAAATGCATGGCTACAAGACTAGGGGATGGAGAAATCTTTGGATGAGAAATACAGGACTGTTGGATTATTTGAAAAAGGCAGAGTAGGAATTGAAAGGCCACATCATGCCTGGGAACTCAATAGAGAAACTAGAGACTTAAACCACCAAGGAACATCCACCAGTCTGGGTACAATGCAATAACTGCAGTGAGATTCTGCTTTGGGTGCTAAAGACAGGGGAGCAGGAGTGTGAATCTCTGCATTTGTCACAGCCACATTGCTCATGCCCTTTCTGTGCAGGGCAGTCTGTCCATAACACTTCTTGCTTGTGGGTTTTAGGTGTTCCTGAGGCGTCAAAATGGAAAGGAAGATTTCTACAAGAACTGGAAGACTTATGTGGCAGGTTTTGGAGATCCTAAGGATGAATTCTGGATAGGTAAGTGGCAAGAATCTGTCTTTTTCTTTAAAAGAAAGCATGAACAGAGCCTGAAAGACTAGGAACCACTTAGAAGCCTCCATTTAGTTGACAAGAGTGTAAAGAGGACCATGGTTTGGGTGAAGGAGGCCAAGGGCAGCCTCTGTGAGAGAGACTGAAATGCCCAGGTCCAAACCAGTCCCTCCCACTGCAGTTCATAGATGTCATGCTTGGGTCACCAAAGGTACCAACCCAATGCTCACTGGTGCCCTGGAAGAAGTCAGAGGTAAACTGAGAAGCAACTACAAACCACCTCCTTCCTGTGCTCCTGGGACACCCCCAGCAACAAAAGCTTATGACTCAGAGAGGCAAAGTAGATGAAATAAAAACAAAAAGCAAATTTTTCAAAGGTTGTGCAGCATTTTATTTGGCTGTAAATGAAAGACAATGATGATCACACAGCAGAGCTTTGGTTACTTTGCCTAAGGGGCTATCTGCTCCTGGGATTTGAAGGGAGATCTCTCAGTCAGGCTGGGGTTATGGTTTGCTTTTGTGCTGACATCACTCTACAGCTGAACTAGCTCATTTTGCTCACCAGTGTTTATGCCCTGCTCTATCTCTACAGTCCAGTATGACCCCATTGATGGGATAACAAGATGGCAGAGAAACAAACATGCAGAGACCAATAAATTGTCCATTTTTGCCAACAGGTCTGGAGAACCTCCACAAAATCACTTCTCAGGGGCAGTATGAGCTACGTGTGGACCTGAGGGACAAGGGTGAGACAGCTTATGCTGTCTATGACAGGTTCAGCGTTGGAGATGCCAAGAGCAGATACAGGCTCAAAGTAGATGGGTACAGTGGCACAGCAGGTGAGAGGAAATATTGATCTTTTTCCCTTCTGATTTGCAATTTACTCCCTGTTGGCTCAAGGTAACTATGTGAATGTTACAGATCAGCATCACAGCAGGAACCTCCTCTGTGTTAGGGGTTTGAAAATAGGAGCATATCAATATATTTTATGCTTCCATTTTAAATCCTCCAGTTGTTTAAGTGCCACATTTTATGATATGACTGTGACAGAATTTAAACAAGTATATTAAACCATCATATATCTCATTTGGGGAATGCTTGGCTGTCATTTATACAGCTAATAATAACTTGGCACAGCCTCTTTTCTTGTCAGTAGAATTTGCAGTAAAGTCCTGCTATTATGTGATTTATAATTTTGCTGAACAAATCATCTTTTGTAATCATAGCGGGGCAAACCCTGCAGCCCTTATTGAGTCCTCTTTGGGGCTTCAAGGGATTAAGAGATAAATCCACTTTCACAACATGTCTTAAAAGGAGATAATTTTACCCTGCTGGGTGCATAAACCAGAGATGTGTGAATGGGCTCTGCCCTGCACCAGCACATGAACTTTATGCACAGACTATAGAGATGCAAAGGGTATGCAGCAGTAGTAGAATTAATGTCTGTTTGGTTTAGATTGGATATTAGGAAGAAATCCTTCCCTGTGAGGGGGCTGAGACACTGGCACAGGTTGCCCAGAGGAGCTGTGGCTGCCCCATCCCTGGAAGTGTTCCAGGCCAGGTTGGATGGGGCTTGGAGCAACCTGGACTAGTGGAAGGTGTCCCTGCCCATGGCATGGGATGGAATGAGATGAGCTTTAAGGTCCTTCCAACTCAAACTGTTCTGTGATTCTATGATTTAAGGCAAATATGCTGGTGCAGAGTAGTAGTAGCTGCTACAGACAGTAGAATTCAATCAGTGTGGAGACTCCTTTGGTCTTAATTCTCTCCTTGTAGGCATCTATTTGGACTTGGTTTGTCCACACTGTACAGGGCCAAAATCCAGCTTTCAGCAAGAAGTGCAGAAATTGAGCTGCACTCACTGTCACTCCCATGAAATCTACACTAGAAAAATGACTGACCTTGGGCTTTGTTTTCTCTCCCCCATCCAGGTGACTCCATGACATACCATAATGGAAGGTCCTTCTCCACCTTTGACAAGGACAATGATTCTGCCATCACCAACTGTGCTTTGTCATACAAAGGTGCTTTCTGGTACAAGAATTGTCACCGAGTCAATCTGATGGGAAGATACGGTGACAACAGCCACAGTCAGGTGAGTTTGGTGTTTGAAGGATTCTGTAATGCATGAGGAGAAGGGAAATTGCAATTATGGATCTGTCTGGTGGTTCAGTCAGACAAACATCAGAGCACCAACCCAACCCGTGATCCAG